AATATGAGCTGGGTTTTTTCTTTAGTTTGTTTATGCTGCATGATCCAGCCCCCTGGATGCTAGCTGAAGTATTGCTCAGCTGCATTCCAGTCACTAACTCATTTCACTTCACTCTTGTCTTAATTTTGAAGCAAATGAATTCCATGAAAATGCATTGAAGGCAAAAAGTTTTGAAAAAACAATCTTTATTGAGTGTTCAACATGAAGTTCTTCCAAACCTGTTCAAGGTCATTCTCGAATTGACAGGAAGTGCCTGACGCTAAGTTAAATCAATAAGTCAGATGATGGTTTCAGGAGTTGATGATACCCTAGAAAAGTTTTACAGCATCAAGAGGGACCTCCATTGATCGTTGTGGTTGAGAATTGGAAATGTCAGTGGTGATGCCTACTGAATCCAGTAACAGTATGCATACTTCATGTGTGAACAGACAAGAGTTATTTAGTTCTGTTTTCATTGGCAAAGTCCTCTGAAATGTTGAACTGACGGTTAGTGTTTTTAGTGCTTCTGTAAATACAGGGACAGACTTATCAATATGGAGTAAGGATTTGATGGCCCTAATATTTGTTGAATAAAACGTTCTAGCGGTGGGATAAGGTTCTAACATGTTGAAAACAGTTGTAACGGAACAGATGGGTTAAGTTATTAGCAACTGCAAGCCTACCCCAGCTTTCTGTGATCCCAATTTAAAAGTTGGCAGTCATTTTGAAACTTCTTAGGATATTGGCACGGAAACTGTCGTTAACAACCAGTGAGAAGTTCTTTGTAGGTAAACTGTTATTCCGTCTGTGTTCAAGTGATGAAATCAAAGATCATCTCCAAGTTTACATGAAACCACTGCTGAATGATTGCCTGTATCAGACACTGTTAGGAGTGATGGGGTAGCTTAGTTAAGGCGTGTCACAACAAAGTCCTAAGTTTGATTCCCAGGGTACAATTTGTGGTGTTCTTTGTTGGTATGCTGTTATTCAGTCTGTGTTCAGGTGATGAAATAAAAAATCATCTCCAAGTTTACATGAAACCAGTGCCGACTGAAAGCCTGAGTCATGGGGTAGCCTAGTGATGAAAGCATGTCACCACAAAGACCTAGGTTTGATTTACAATGTGTAAAAACCATTTCCAGTGTCCCTCGCCGTGAATTTGCTGGAATATTATTCTAAAAGCGGCGTAAAACCAAACTCACTCACTACAATATGTAAAACCCATTTGTGGTGTTCCTTCCTTGATTTACCTGGAATATTTTGTTAATGATGGTGTAGGATCCACCTTTTTTGACAAGAATGACTTGAAGGTTGTGGTGTAACGATATGGTAACACAGTATTCATTGTGTCATGAGCCTCACGATACATTACATCCATTTAGATCTAATGTATCATGATACATATACATTACAAGTTATATTGTTGTGAAACATGAATAAAAACAGAAATTGTTCAAGAACCATTTTATGCTGATTCTGTAGTATTTCCTAGTACAGAATCATCACAGTGCCTCCAAGCTTATATATTCCTCCCTCCAATATCTCACCTTTGAAAGTTAAAAACATGATTCAAGGTTGTGATTCAAAGGGAGAGAATACAGACTTAGGAAATAAGTGTACTGTATCTGGATATGAATCGTATCTCACCCATATTGCTGGGATACGTATCATATCACAACCTCATATTGTTTATACGTTTTCTTGCAGGTTTCTTGTAGCCAATGGTTGTTGTTATGCTGAAATGTTGTTGACACTCTCAACCTCTTGTCACCTGGCCAGACCTATTATTTGCATGTTAGCACAGCTTGCCTATTGTTCTTAATTGCCAAAAACCATCTTTACAAGCATTCCTTGAAAAGTACTGGCACCAGCTTACCATGAAGATAATAATAAGAATAAGATTATTCAAAGATTTGTCAACTGCTCAAATGAGCAAGCTTTGGGTAACAAAATTTCCTTTTCTAATCTCAACTTCCTGAACATACCATTTTTCCTTGATTATATGACAGGTCATGAATAAATGCCATGTAGGTTTTATGCACAGAAAGCATCATATTGTTTTCTTTGTGATTAAACACAGGGGATAAAGAGTATATAAAACCAACATATGCCCTTCATTTAATCAAGGACTGATATTTTGTAGCTTTTATATGATTAGTTTAATGTAATAATTATATATTGAACAACATACCAAAGTTAATATCTGTACTCAATCTGATACATTTAACATTTGGTAAATGCGCTTTTAGTGCTTAAGATGTTTCATTTTGGATCAGTTGATACATAATAGTCATGATGGAGAGTATTCCTAATACTCTTTCTGATATGTATTCCTTGTAAGTAAAAACCTTGTAGTGTCCCGTGTATTGGATTGTACTTTGTTATGCATGGATTGATGATTCTGTGTCTCAAGCTTGGCAGTCTTAAAAGAGCATTTAAGACATTGCGATGAACCACTAAGTATTTACCGATATATATTCCGGTGTGAAATGTTCATCACTATATGTACGATCAATGTCTGTGTCCTAGATCAGCAAGGCTGTCGAGTGTGAGGCTGGTGCTCAGATACCATCCTTTCCAATATCCAATCACGCTGTCATAATGTCAATATCTACGAAATGTGACGTCTGCTACATTTAGTAAGGTTAACAGATGTCATCCACTTAGATTCTGGGTAAATACAGACAGATTGGACTGACTTAGTCGGAGGAAATGACTGGAATGGAAGTGGGAAACTAGTGTTCTGTTGCAGCAGACTCGGGGAGAGTCCAGAGTGGATCTTCCTCATTTTATAGACATGCTGGTCACATGATCACTGTAGAACCCATAGAAAGGACTTTACTGCAACAGAGGATGGAGGATATATATCAAATATGTTAAAGTATATTGGTGCATCATGAGAGAGTAATATCAAAGTACATTGCAGTGTTTAAAACTCCCAGAATTCCAAGCCAGACAGCGGGCCTGGTAACTTAAAAAAATTACCAGTCCAGATACAAACTTGCCAGTCTGGTTTTCAACAATAAAAAAAACAAAATAAAATAAAGTTTCTGAATACTTTCCTGCATGTATTGTAACGTTAAATCTAAGGTACATGGCCAGGGCCCCGTTTCACAACGCTCTCGTAAGCCTAAGATCTCGTAACTTTTCTCGTAGCATTAGTACCTCATATGTTACAGTATAGGAGTATAATGCTACGAGAAAAGTTACAAGATCTTAGGCTTACGAGAGCTTTGTGAAACGGGGCCCTGGTTTACAAACTAGAAATCTATTGGACTTATGCCTCACAATCAAGATCAGAGAAACATCTAACAGACCACCGGACAGGCTACTTTTGAAATTTGACCGTCTGAGATGAAAATAGACCGTTCCGGACGGTCGGGCAGGTGGGAATTTTAAACGCTGTACATTGTTACATCATGTCAGAGTGACTTTCAAAACGCTTACACTTTAAACACCAGAATCCAATATTTCATAAGTCCAGTAGGCTCAGCTAATAATAATTCAGAATAAAATGTTCTGATATAGTGCCAAGAAACATGTTAAGGAAAGTAGTGTCAGCTTTTGCCAATGTCTGTATTTAACAAAGAGTCTGGCTAAAGACTACAGTGATCAAAATGATATTTTGGGTGAAACCTGTGTTTGGAATCATTTAAGGCTATTACAACTTATTGTAAGTATGTAGTTTAACAGACAGTTCGTGATATTATACAAAATGCAAACAAAACAGAGCAAGTAATTTTAGTGTGTAAAAATAAAACGATTAACAGGAGCATGAACATGATGAAAGTCGATATTGTTCATTTTCATTCCATTGAACATGTCATCGTTTATGCTTGTATTGTCTTGTATCTATGACTGATGCTGATCTTCAGTGCCATATGTCTGTTTGTGATGAGATTCAGTATAAAGTGCTATTAATGTTAGTATTAGCTTCTCTTAGATTTTCAACCCGTGAAGGTCCAGGTTAGAATATTGATTTTCAGTAAACCATGCTTGTGGTAAGAGGCGACTAACGGGATCGGATGGTCAGGCTTACTGACTTGCTTGACACAGGTCATCATATTCCAATTGCATAGATCGATAATCATGATGTCAATCGCTGGATTGTCTGATCTAGACTCGATTATTTACAGACCGCCGCCATATAGCTGGAATAGTGCTGAGTGCGGCGTAAAACTAAACTCACTCACTCTCTTAGATTTTCAACCCGTGAAGATCCGGGTTAGAATTCATCTTCAGTAACCCATGCTTGTCATAACAGGCGACTAACGGGATCGGGTGGTTAGGCTCGCTGACTTGGTTGACACATGTCATCGGTTCCCAATTGTGCAAATCGATGCTCATGCTGTTGATCACTGGATTGTCTGGTCCAGACTTGATTATTTACAGACCACCGCCATATAGCTGGAATATTGCTGACTGTGGTGTAAAACTGAACTCACTCACTCTTAGATTTTCAAATACAGCGTCATGTTTTCAAGACTTGCAGCATTCAAATATTTGAACCGACTTTGAAAAATCCTCAAAATTGTAACTCTAGTATGGTAGACAAATGAATGAATGAATGAATGAATGAATGAATCTGAATTAATCTGAATGAACTGTCAGTATTTTGACTCTGCCAAACAGACTGCATGTTCATGTGAATTGACTGAATTACCAAGTAATGTGAATACTTGTGGGTTATAAGTTCTTTCAAAAGTTTTGGGCCAGGTATCAGAACTATAGCTCCATAGGTACCATTTTGCTCCAAAATGTTTCTGTTTTTTAATGAATGGTCAGAAATCTGAAACAGGCCCAAGATCATTTGCCCCACCCTGTACTCTTATATCAAGTATTGATTTGTCACGGTTCTTGTTATCATGGCCATGATGTTGGTAGTCACGTTATGTTCAGGATGTTACATGCCTGATGATCTTGTATTCAATAAGTGTTGGTCATGTCAGTGATTTATACCTGATACATTCTGCAGGCCAGTGTGTTCGTGCTTCTCACCATAAATCTTCTTTTCTTTGCAGTCGGACATCAAAGGAAGTCAGAATAAGCTCATAGAACAATTGACCAATCAGATCAGTGAATCGCCGGGTCCTCCAACACGGAAATTACTCGCACGCTGTCTGGCAACTTTGTTCAGCGTCGGTGACACGTTTGAACTGTTCAACACCATCAATAAGTGCAATGACGTCATCAGAAACAAGGATGATTCTCCCAGCTACCTGCCAACCAGACTGTAAGTGATAGCTCTGATATATAAATCATGCATCGGACAGTACTCATACCATTTGATGTTCAATCTATCCAAAAGGGGCACAGGTTGCCTGGTAATTGTTTCGACAGAGTTGTGTCCCCTTGGCAGGCCAGAATCCTATGATCCTTGATTTTCTGTGATTATGATTCTGGATTTTTCACAATATTCCTTTGTGGAACTTGTATACAGTGGAGACCTGTATCATTTAGAGATGTAAAAACATTACAAACACACATGAACATACACTCTGAGTAAAAATACTGACAATTCATTCAGATTAAGCGACTATTCATTCATTCATTCATTCATTCACAGTGTTCTATTCAGTATTAGTATGTCAAACAGTTTGGTCAAGATATTAATTATTGTTGCAGATGACAACTTTTGATCCTTAAGTCAGATCAATAAGTTATTTTCGAGGGCTGATGGGAACTGTTGTCTAGTTTACCAGGTTTAATTAAAAAATAAAGATTCTTTGAAAGAAATTCATGGCGTAATTTTTTAAATGCCTGTTAATAGTATAGCTGCATGCTTCTGCAGAAGTATAAATAAGGAATATGAAGGAGGTACGTGTTAAATTACCCGATCCAATGCTATATTTGGTGCAACTCATTCAAATATTACTTGTAACTTTGGATATGTCAGATTAGCATATACATGTTATTCAACCTGCTGGAGTGTATTATGTCTGGCGTTCCAACTGTATTTATTGTGTGTACCTTCTATAAATTTAATAATCCATGACTCAGTGCCATTATTTGACAGATCGCAGTGAGAAAAATATTCCATCGGATCCATTAGGTTAGACAATATCTTGAGTTAATGGAGTTTGAGGTGACAGTTTGTCACAATATATCATACTGTTTCAATCACTTCGCCACGGTTGACAGTCTGTCACGGTATATCATACTGTTTCAACAATCGGAGCTCCAGGGATCTTGTCATAACAGAGGCAATTTACTCAATCAATATCACAATGTGTTGCTGAAACCCGCAGATATATTGACCTTGGTGATTTGATCAACCTAATTTTAAGGGTTTCATATCGACTGTCATTGTAGAGACCCTCTTGATTTCCTAGTTGATAATCGCTCTTCTTTCATGTTTATTGATAACTGTTTACTTCAAGTGATGGTGATAAATCAGATCAACAAACAAATCACATATTCTAGTCAAGTTGTTTCTGGGACAGGCATCTTGCTGACAAATTGGTTTGACACACATCCTAGCTATCTATGGAGCCAGGACCCTCTGGGATGAGGTGTCCAGTGGTGTAAGGGAATAGAAATACAGAGCAGATGTCATGGAGGCCCTGGCTTTGTGTTTTCTCGGATATAAGTGTCTCTTGTAGAAGTCTAATGATTTTGGGGTCGATACGGAAAACATGGAGGGTAGGCTAATGAAACGTCTCATTGATTGTGGTTCCAGTTGCAAGGACTTTTCGTCTTTTTGAAGAAAAGAATTTCCTTGAAGATTTTTTATATACGTTTGTTGTATTTCTTTGATGAACCCAGGGTTGACATTTTATTAGCTGAGGTTATGATCAATAGATTATTCGAACAATTTGTGGAGTATCTGTTTCAAGTAACGCCCATGCAGCACTCATTTGTCTCTATGAAGGCAACAGGTAGTCAACTGCAAAAATAAAAAGCAAAAGAATTATGTAAAGTCATGATTGAAGTCCTTAATGTACAATGCTTAATTATCCCTGCCATTCAATCACTTGCATACCCATTCAACCAACCAACAACCAGACACGCCTGCCCACCTACTCTCATGCAACCAGACACACCTGCCCAGCTACATTCATGCAACCAAACACACCTGCCCACCCACTCTCATGCAACCAAACACACCTGCCCACCTATCCTCATGCAACCAAACACACCTGCCCACCCATTCTCATGCAACCAAACACACCTACCCACCCATTCTCATGCAACCAAACACACCTGCCCACCTATCCTCATGCAACCAAACACACCTACCCACCCATTCTCATGCAACCAAACACACCTACCCACCCATTCTCATGCAACCAAACATACCTACCCACCCATTCTCATGCAACCAAACACACCTGCAACCAAACACACCACCCATTCTCATGCAACCAAACACACCTGCCCACCCGTTCTCATGCAACCAAACACACCTGCCCACCCGTTCTCATGCAACCAAACACACCTGCCCACCCATTCTCATGCAACCAAACACACCTGCCCACCCATTCTCATGCAACCAAACACACCTGCCCACCCATTCTCATGCAACCAAACACACCTACCCACCCATTCTCATGCAACCAAACACACCTACCCTCCCATTCTCATGCAACCAAACACACCTGCCCACCCATTCTCATGCAACCAAACACACCTGCCCACCCATTCTCATGCAACCAAACACACTGCCCACGTACATTCATGCAACCAAACACACCTGCCCTACACACTCTCATGCAACCAAACACACCTGCCCACCCACTCACATGCAACCAACCCACTATCCTCTCCACTCCCACCAACAAGCCTACCAACCGACAGACCCAGCCCTAGGCTGTAGTTGGCAGTCATCAGGTGCATGGTGTGTACTTCATGTTCCACACGCTGCAGGTTTCTGAATACCCCAATCCCTTCCCCAGGCACAAAACACATAGTAAATACCTGGCATGATTATGTAGTTACCATGGTTATTGTTTTGGCAAAAAGTCATCTGTGATTTCTGCATGTCTGACACCATTACACACCCCAGGAAGCCTGGAACCTGCAGTGCTATGTTATTTATACCCCATGATACCAGACAACAGTTACCTGAGCCAGTTCAAATTCACAGACATTGCATCACCTGTCTCACGAGGGGGAGGGTTTGAGGGAGATATTACCTGAAAATGAACAGATCTTGCAGAAAGGGGTAAAAGGGGCAGTTCAGAAAGTGTTCAAACTTAGTCCTGTAAGTCTTCTCCTAAGGTATTTTAGCCCTCAGTTTTCTGTAATACTGCAAAATAGATGATATTTCGATTGAGACACTTTCTTCTTTGAGTTTCACTAAAATGGTAAAGGTCTAAGACGTACATCCCTACACGCTGACACGCCTTGATATAACTAAAACACTATAAAGCTGAACCCGTGAAGATCCGGGTTAGAATTGGTCTTCAGCAACATGCTTGTCGTAAGAGACCACTAACAGGACTTGATGGTCAGACTCGCTGATTTGGTTGACACGTCATCGTATCCCAATTGCATAGATCAATGCTCATAATGCTGATCACTGGATTGTCTGCTCCAGACAATATTATTTACAGACCGCTGCCATATAGCTAGAATATTGCTGAGTGTGGCGTTAAACAACAACCAACCAATCACTACAAAGCTGCATCAAAACTCACTCACTCACCCAATGCACCTGAAGGCCAATAGCTCTCTGGCTGCTTAAGGTGTAAATACAAGTTATGATGGTCACAGCATGAAGACTGCTTTGTGGGATCCGTGTCGTTGATGCTCCTACCTTGTATTTACCTGTATTGTTTGTGTAGATGCCTGCAATCACAGGTAGTGAGGACTTGCTTGTTATTTCCACATGTTCTATCACTAAACTTGTTTATGCTTTCAGGGCTGCCATCACTTGTCTGGGTGCCATGTATGAAAAACTTGGCAGAATGGTCGGCAGGTCCTTTGAAGAAACAGTACAGATTCTCATAAAATCTCTTAAAAATGCTGAGGTGAGTAGATAATCCTTTCTTCATCTGATGCTACATACCCGATACACAAGACCACTGTTCTTTAATGTCCAGTGACCTTGTTCAGCCAAACACTACAGAACTGGTGCTGGACCCAACAGATATGGGGGGATGGTTGGTAGATTATTTTTGTTCATTTTAATAAACCTTATAATGGTATTGCTCTTCAGTAATCCATGCTTGTCGTAAGATGCGACTAACAGGATTAGGTGATCAGGCTTGCTGACTTGGTTGACACATGTCATCGGTTCCCAATTGTGTAGATTGATGCTCATGCTGTTGATCACTGGATTATCTGGTCCAGACTCGATTGGAATATGGTTGGAATATTGCTGACTGCAGCGAAAAAGTAACATCATTCACTCACTTATCTTTATTATTTTTTCTCGTGTAAATGAGCATTTTGATTAGGGACAAGTAGAAATCTATGTACAAAACACTACCAGTAGTAGGGCCTTCTTTGGGGCTTTCAGGACAGAATTGGTTTCCAGTACCTAATACTTATCTCTCAGATGTATGCTACCCAAAATAAGTAAAAAATGTCCAATTTTGTTTGGACATGACAGAGTAACTATATTCATATTCCAGCTTCACTTAAATATTAGCTGAAAAAGTCCCACTTTCCCACACTGTCAGACCTGAAATGGTGATCAGATGATCACAATGTCTGCTGTTGTTTGCATCAGTTGAGGGGGCGGTGGGGTAGCCTAATGGTTAAAGCGTTGGCTCGTCACGCCGAAGACCCGGGTTCGAATCCCCACATGGGCACAATGTGTGAAGCCCATTTCTGGTGTCCCCCGCCGTAATGTTGCTGGAATATTGCTAAAAGTGGCGTAAAACCAAACTCAGTCAGTCAGTCAGTGCATCAGTTGACCAACATTTAGACAGTGATGAATGTACCTGTACTATAGTTTATCAGCATGACTCTCTGACTGTAGATGTTGGTCATGATTGGCTTACTGCTTTTCGTAACCGAGGAGATTTGGCTTCTGTTAAAACCAAGATTAGAATACACCTGGAACACTTTCTTGCTTGTTTTACAAGAAACAGACAGCGCCTCTGTTTGTCATAAAGTCTGTCAGTATGGAATATGTTCACCTCATCAACCTGTGTTGTATGTTTGTATGATGCAGAAGAATGCCAAGGATCTAACTGTTACATAGCAGAGTGGGCATAAAACAGTTATCACGCTCTTGAGAGTTTATTACTTGATAACATCACCTTTACTTTTACACATACTGACACAACACAATGGTTTGCCAGGTTGTATTATAATCAATATGTTTACCTTTGGTTGAGTAGGAGATTATGTCTTGTTCGTCGATAAAAGAATAATCACAACATTCAGACATTTCATGTCGCTGTTCACAATGAAATAGTAAAGTCAAGCTGTTGTGACATCCTGCACGTAATCAAGGACCAAATGAAGCATGTTATAAACATATAAGATGACATTATGAGCTCAGTGCCATGACAAGTGTGATGATGTGTATCCTCTAGACCCGTAAACATCCGGGTTAGAATTGGTCTTCAGCAACCCATGCTTGTCATAAGAATAGGTGAGGTGAGGTGAGGTGGTGAAACTGGGTTTAACGTCGTGCTTGAGAATATTTCGCTCATATGACGACGTGCATGCGTGTGTATGTGTATGTGCGGCTGCTTGTACTAGCCCAGACTGAAGCTGGTTTTATAGTACTAGCCCACTGAGATACCATGCCGCAGTGAAGCATGAATACCCCACTCAGACACATTATACTGACTCCGAGCCGACCAGTCCTTGTTGTACCCATTAATGCTGAGCGCCAGACAGGGACCAACAAGTACCATATTTGAACGTCTTTTGGTATGACACGGTCGGGTATCGAACCAGCGACCTTCCGCTCTCCAGGCAGACGCTCTAACCACTACACCACGGAGGTGGTCTCATAAGAATAGACTAACAGTACCAGGTTGTCAGGCTTGCTGACTTGGTGGACACATGTCATTGTATCCCAGTTCTGTAGGTCAATGCTCATGTTGTTGATCACTTGATTGTCTGGTCGAGACCGGATTATTTACAGACCGCCCGCGTATATGTGGAATATTGCTGAGTGCAGCTTTTAACAACAAACAATGTGTATCGTCCCCAGTGTAGTCACTATGAACACCTCTTCCAAGTGCTGATAACCGTTTTTATCTGTACTGTCTGAAGACTGTTGCGACCATGATTTCATAAAGATGTAATCTTCACCATTGAGTAATGCACACATCATTTGGATGAGCAAGGAGATACATCTGCAATTGTTTAATTTTCAGATAATTTTCTTTTCAAAATCACTGAATGTATCAGATGATCAAAAGTTTGAACAAAGTCCCAATGCAGTTGTAACTCTAAGTGATGACTGTTTCATGTAGAAACTTTAATGAATGAAATATCATTCACGTTGATTACCTCTACCATTTCATTTAAATAAACTCATTGATTCCTAGTATTCAAGTAGCCTTTTTTATTCTGTTGCTTTTCCTATTTAGTTTATCTTTGCTTTAAAGATTGATTTACTGCTTAACTGAATTGTCTAGAGCATCGTCGATTTGCAAGATGGTATCATCTTCCACAGGCAACCAACATATTTTTATCAAATACCAAACATGGTTTTTAAGTGTTGGCCGTCTTCTTATTCTGTGTCAGTTTCAAAGTCTCCATCTTTTAGTTATTAATTAAGTTTGAAGATTTTGCAGGTGATAATTTATCTGTTGATACATTGCCCAACATTTACGAGTAGAACTTTAGCTTATGATTAATTAAAGATCTGAGTGATTTGGCATTACTCCAGCGAACAGTAATATTATCAGCAGAGAAAGTGGAAGATATGAGGTATTCAGAAGTGCAAGCTTCGCCTGTTGAGATGCTCCTACTGTGAATTATTTACAAGATGAATTCTGCTCTTACATTCCATGGGTATCTTGATTTACAACACGGGCCACATATAGTCAGCTTTAATTATGTGTTGATATTTCTAACCATAAATATTGTGTGAGCAATAACACCTGCTCAGTAACCTTGGAACAAGCAAGAGTTACATCCAGATCCAAATACACCAAAGGGGATTACTTGGATTAATCTGAACAGCACAGATTGATCTGTCTTAATAAATAATACATTGATAGCCTTGGAATCTATCTTAGGTTACCTGCTACCACCTTTTCGTGACTTCATTCTTTTAGTTTCCTTTTGAGAATACATGTATCAGGACTGAGTGGGTTTCAGTGAGTGAGAGAGTTAGTTGGCTTTTACTCCCTTTTAGCAATGTTCCTGCAATATCATTGACAGGGCACCAGAAATGGGCTTCACTCATAGTGCCTATGTGGAGAACCAAAGCCAGGCCTTCGGCTTAACGAGCTATTAACCACTAAGTGACCCCACCTAACTGACATGCTTGTTGACTAAAGTGAGGACTAGATGGTGTGTGTAAGACAAACACTTAGTTTCTGAATATACATAATTTTGAAACAAATAATTCCTTTTAAGTTGATGGGAGATTGAGAAGAAATCTCGACTTGCTTCATTTAGGGCTTTAGCATTGCGGAAAGGGCTGGGCGGAAGGGGAAATGTGTCTGTGTGTGACCTGAATGATAGCATACCATTGTTTATGTTATCAGCCACTGGTTTGTGTTGTTCAGACTCATGATATAAATGCAATATTTTCCACTGATGTTAAACCTCCCTCACACTGTTGAACCGATATGTATCAAAATATATTTCTGCTATTCAAAATATAAATGTTCTCTTGATTACTCAGAATATAGATAATTTATTTGATAGTTCTAAGCAGTTTATTCAAGTCAATGTTGATTTAGGTGCCTAAAACTATGCATTAAGATCACATTGGAATTTGGATGTTTAATACAAGTTATGACCATTGTGGAATTTCTTTTAGCTGTGTAGATATTGCAAAAAGATGGCTTGATAAACATATGAGAATACCTTGACGGATAAGTTCCATTTCTTACACAGCTGAGGAGCAGGCGAAGGTCAATATGTGTTGGGTGGAGCAATTGATCTGTATCGTGATGTACCAAAATACTTAAGTGCTATGTTTAGACAGATTCAGTCAAGGGAGATAACTAGTAACATGGAGCGTGTTAGTTGCAGTGATGGCTTACATCATGCACCTGAAAAAGCATTCTCTGCAGATAGTGCAAGAATGCACCGGCATACATTACCAGTGCCGACAGCAACATTGGCTATGAACGTGTCATGCGTCTGCGCACCGCTGCAAACTTCTTTGCTGTCTGCTGCTAGACAGTGCCAAAATATCACTGTATCATCAGAGCTTCTGTGTGTGTTGATGAAAGTACAGCTCATCAAAATATATTTTTAATGATTAGATACCAGCTACATATCTTACTCTCTTCAGAACATTTATTTATGGATTCGTTTCCAGGAGTGCCTTCCTGAACTGATGCCCACAGAATTCATGTCAACTCGAAAGTCCTTGGTTATTTACAGACTCTTCATTTGAGTCTATTCTTATACAGGTTTTTTATAGATGTCAATAAGGGTTAAAAAGATTCATTCTGAGCCATACTTTCAACAACATATGGAAGATTTTATCCCCAAGTTTATTCTGACCTGCTTCTCTCAGAGTCCTTGACCTTGAAGTTTAAGTTGGAGCAGTAAATTTTGAAGGCGATCATATTTCTCAAGTTGTTCTTAAGAAACTGAAGTTGGCATTTCCAAACTTCTCGCATGGATTTAACTGAAACTAGGTGTATGGGTGGCCTGCTTCATAAGTGGCATCAAAATAAATCCGGCAACAAGCTTTTTAGTATTTCCTCAATGAATCTCTTGAAAAATTCAGGTTGCCGAAACCTAACCCTCATTTATAGTCCTCAGTTTGTTCAAGTTATAAATCAGATATGGCAGTTGCTGAAAATAGTGTTTTTTAGTAAAAAAACCTTGATTATATATATGGCACGTGGGAGAGATCTGCGTTGAGATA